ACATAGGTGAATATATTGTAATATTTACCAGTGGTATGCCGGCAGCCTGCGTTCTGTTCACTGCTGCCTTAAGGTTGTCGAGTGAGTTGTAACCATAGCGACAGAGTTGGAATCCTAGACCCCAGTACGGCGGGAAATAAGGTCTGCCTATTATCTAGGGGAATTAAAAACATTACAGGTTGAAACCGTAAAGTGGTTACGATCATTATATATATATATATTATGATGAATAATATAGATTGGTAAGCTCTCTAGTATGAGGATCCAGTAGCACGAACACTGAACACTACACTCACACTATACTATAATACCTCAAGATCCTCCGTTCTCATGACGAACAACATAGCTAATAATAGCAATAATTATAAAAAATTATAGTAATAATAATAATAATAATAATAATAGTAATAATAATGTTAAAATAATAATAGTTAATCGACATGCATCGCTGTTCTAGCGTGAGCTTACGGACGTATACTCCTGAATAACTTGTTCGGGTGACGGACCCATGAAGAAGTAGAAATCCAGCTGCCCTCCAATAGTTCTCAAGGTCATGCCAGGATTCGGTAACATCTTCACCTCTATACCATCATCAACGAATAAAATGAAACCAATTAATAAATTAATGAAATCAATCAATTAGTAAAATAATGATATCAAACAATTGATAAACGATTACGAACTTTGCATCGTGTCATATGCATTTTAGGTAAATCTATTCAGTATGGAGACATATAGATATACATCAGGAGTAGATAATAGGGATATAGGGATACCCTATTATCTACTCCTGATGGTATCATGGTATGTAGATATACTCACCCATGGCATTGCTGTTGAGTAACAACACACCGTGAGCACTGCCATCTGTTTCCATGAGCATGTAGAATGGATGAACACCGTACATGTTGGAATTCTTTGTCATCTGCTTCCATGAGCATGTAGAATGGATGAACACCGTACATGTTGGAATTCTGCAGTAAGGGAAGAGTAAGGCACACAGAGTTCATCAGTCACACGCGGCAACCGTGTTGGTTCATGCTAACGCGTCTAATATTGCATAGTTTAGGGCGAACATTACATTACATAGGTTGTTTTT